ATTCAGAGGAGGAGCGGAACAGCCAGACCGCCAAACCATCAAAAAAGGCCCCAGTGACGACCAAACAGTCCAAAGTTCTAGCCTCAGCAGGAAATCGCAAGAATAATGTTTACGACTTTCCAGACGAAGATGAATTGAGTACTTCCGAAGTCACCCAGCAACTCAAGCATGTCGTTTACAAGCAGGAGAAGGCAGCGAAAGTTATTTCCGCCACCAGCACGAAAGAAAACGATGCCCCAGTGGTGGTGAAAAACAAGGGCGGGCGACCTCGGAAGCACCCTTTACCCACCGCAGAAGTGCACGAGACAGCTCCCGTGGTTACGAAATCAACCCTGAGTGAGAAGCCGACAAAAGCACCAGCAGGTCGACCTTCAAGATCACGAAAATCAGAAGAAAATGATAACCTGAATGGTGCGACTGCTCCAAAAACTCGTGGTCCAGGTAGAAAACCCGCCACAGCTAACCTCCGGGGCGGTGAGGCTCCCGCTCTGCCAAAAGGCATCCTAACCCCGAGAAAGGGACAAGAAGTCGGTCGAGGGAGGAAAAAGAATGTTGTCTTTGATGAAAAAGCCAAGGACAGCACTTCTGAGGATGATGCAGAGGCATTAGCAGCGGCACGTCCATCCAAATCTTCTCATAGGAAGCTCAAACAGCCCGAGCCGGAAGTGGAGCTTGAAGAAGAGGATGCGGACGAATCTAGCGAAGAGGAGGATGATGAAGTCTGCATCATCTGCTCGAAGCCGGACTCGGAAAAGGGTAACGAGATTGTATTTTGCGACAACTGCGATGTAGCGGTACATCAGGAGTGTTATGGGATCCCGGAGGTACCCGAGGGTGATTGGACCTGTCGGAATTGTTTGCAAGAGGAGACTGTAGCGGCACCGGCAACAAAAGCAGTCCAGCAGGAAGTGATTGTTTCCGCATCTACAAAAAAGGATCACCAGCAACCCCCAATTCCCAATTTTGAGCAACATTTGAGGACGATGCAGAGGGTTCTTCTTGACCGATGCTCTGGAAGAAGACGGATCAAATTGAGGGGGCAGGATGAGGCGTATGAGAAGGCCTACCAGCTGGTACAACAGACTATCGTTGCCGGTGAGGGCAATTCTATGATGGTCATTGGGGCTAGAGGGTGCGGCAAGACAACGCTGATTGAGTCCATTTTGGAGGATGTGTCCAAGGAACATAAGGAAGAGTTTCACGTGGTCAGACTCAATGGATTCGTGCATACGGATGATAAGTTGGCATTGAGAGAGATCTGGAGGCAGCTGGGTAAGGAGATGGAGGTGGAAGATGAGTTGGTAAACAAGGTGAGTTTTTTTTTTTTTTTTTTTTTTTTTTTTTTCATAAATCTTGTGCGTAAATGCTGAATGACAGCGGCAGACAACCAATCATGCAGACACCATGGCCTCTCTGCTGGCACTCTTATCACATCCTTCAGAAATTGCAGAGGCCAACGAGGGCGTGACATCCAAGTCTATTGTTTTTGTTATAGACGAGTTTGATTTGTTCGCGACACATGCGAGACAGACTTTGTTGTATAATCTTTTCGATATTGCACAGGCAAGGAAGGCACCAATTGCGGTGTTGGGGTTGACTACGAGAATTGATGTGGTCGAAAGTTTGGAGAAGAGAGTCAAGAGTCGGTTCAGCCACAGATATGTCTATTTGTCTCTTCCAAAGAGTCTGCCTGCATATTGGGATGTTTGCAGGCAGGGGCTTACTGTTGACGAGGAGGACATGGACGCAGAGGGCATTGATACCACTTTGGAAGGACACGCGATGTATTGGAAGTGGTGGAATGGACAGATCGAGGTAGGTTTGGTCTATTGATGGCTGTGAACTTGGATTTGTGGTTTGCTGACAACATCACAGCTTCTGTACAAAAGCAGCAGCTTCCAAGACCATTTGGAATCTCACTACTGCAGCACAAAATCCGTGTCGGCATTTTTAACAACATGCATCCTTCCGCTTGCATGCCTGTCTCCTGCCTCGCCGAAACTATCAATGCCTACACCTTGTGCAGGACCAATCATGTCTCTCGAGGCACCAGACTCCAAGCTGCACATGCTGGAGTCTTTGTCGGATCTGGATCTGTCACTACTAATCGCCGCGGCGCGTCTGGACATCGTGGCACACACTGACACGGTCAACTTTGCAATGGCCTACGACGAGTACACTTCGCTCATGAGCAAGCAGCGAGTTCAGTCGGCCAGCTCGGGGCTTCTAGTTATGGGCGGCGGCACGCGTGTATGGGGTCGCGGCGTCGCGGGTATGGCGTGGGAGCGGCTGATTGGATTGGGCCTATTGGTTCCTGCGGCGGCGGGAGGGAGGGGAACAGCCGGGTTGGGTAGCTTGGATTCCAAGATGTATAAGCTGGATGTTGCGCTCGAGGAGATTCCTATGGCGGTCAAGTTGAATGCTGTTTTGGCGAAATGGTGTAGTCAGATTTGAGGGGGCATTCTTTTTAAAACCCATTTGGATGCTTGGTTCGGTACGTGTGTGGCGCCAGGGAGGCGTGGTCCTGAGGACGATGGGACGATGCATGATCTGACGGCGCAAGAACCAGGGGAGGGCGGAATGAGATTTGTTTTGAACAAAATTAAGCTTTCGAGGGTTTAGCGCCCATTGGTTGTTTGTTTTCTTTTTCCGTTTCAAGTGCGGGAGGCGTGGGAGGCGTTTCATTACCGAGAACCTTAGCTGATGGAACTATTTTGAGTTACACTGCCCCGGGCCATTTTTTTTCTTACCTTATCCGCAGTCGCAACGCATTTTCTCTCCCACGTGTTTGGGTGTCTTTGAGATGCTCCTTACGGAAGACTGAGCCGAGTCTGGCTGACGCCACACCCGAGCGAACGAACCAACGGCCGCTTGATATTTTCATCTTTGTCATTTTTTTTCATTGGGGAGGGGGGAATAAGCACAGCCATGTATGTACAGTGTACTGCCACACAGTTGACAGGTTCTTTTGTTGGGGAGAAATGGGTGTGCCCGTTCTATATATCTTTTACGTTCCCTTTCTTTGGGCAGGGAAAAATAATACCTAAAAGAGATTTTCTTTTTTTTTCTTTTGCATCTCTTCCACTCTACTTGTGTTTGCCAAGATGTCGAAACGAAGCCAATTCACAACCATCACCCCTTTACCCTCGGGTATCTCTCGCGAGGTCGTTTTGGATTTTCTTCACGACCACGAGGAAATGATTGATTTGAACCCTTTGGTTAAAGAACGTCATCCTATTCCAGTACCCCCTCACGCGCCGTTGGACGAACAAGACTGCAGATGGTATTCGTTAACCGACAAAATCACATATTTGCCCGGTGGACTCGCAGAGGGAGATATCACTTATACTTGTGCATTTCATGATTTGGATGATGGGCTGCAAACGCATTGTTATGCGCCAGCTGGTTTGAGTATGTTTTACTTCCGTCTCTCAACAACGTTCTTTGTTTTCTAACTTTGGCTCTTTTCAGCAATCCGGGATAAATGGACTGTAGGCGGTTGTCTACCGGGGGAAACCTCTAGACCAACAGAATTAGGCCTCAACGTTCCTCCCACCGGTCTTTACCTCCGTGAAGACGTAAATATGAAATGCAACGTTTTCATGACTAGCTTCGTCAAAAAGACTCTCAAAAAGTCTCACGCAGCGTTGGTTGACCGGTTGAAGATCAAAGCAGAGATTGCAAGTACGAACAAGACCAACAGCAGCAACAACAGCAGGACACCGACACCGCCTTTTAAGAAAAACCACAACAGCCGTCCAGTTTCACCAGCTACTAGTCAGGTCTCATCGGTTGTTTCCACTCCATCATGCTATAGTGCTCAAAGTAGTCCGATGTGGTCGCCCACTGCGAATAGCGTCAGCGGTGGCAGTAGCATAATCACCAGTCCACCATTATCTATTAGGAGTCCACCGCAACCTAAACACGGGCATTCAAACAGCGACCCGATAATTCCTTCCTTCCAGCCATATCAGCGACAAGCGGCTGAATCACATTATATGGCTTTTGGTCAACAACAACGAGCTGCATTTCCCAATAATAACAATACGCCGTATCCCAATAGAACAGATTCGATACCCTATCATCAACAACAGAATCAAAATCAGAATCGACATTCAGAAAACCCATATTATACTAAGCAACAACAGCAACAGCAACAGCAACAGCAACAACAAAATAATCTTCCGTATCCATCAACACCCTTCATGTCAAACCCTCCCGCGTCTGACCTAGACTGGCCCTTACCTTCCCCACCCCGATCATCAAACAATTCTTCTTCTCATCTAGAATTACAGGTTAGGGACACGGAAATAATCCAGAATTTAATTCCTGATGCGTTGAGAATTGTTTCTCCCCCTCATCATCCTCCTCCTCCTATTCCGAAGAAGGAAAAACTGGATGATGGGGCTTTATGGGCTGCTTTGGGTGGTGGTGAGCGTAAGCGAGCGGGAGGGGGATTGGAAGCGGGGGAAAAGATGAATGAGAAGAGTTATATGAACAATAACAATCAGCAGCAACAGCAAGGAGGAGGGTATTATGCTGGTTCTGGGAATGGAAATGGGAATGGGACCGGGAAGGGGTATAAACCGTATGGTGTGTATGGGAGCTCAGGACATCCTGATTATCCGGTTATGAATCCTTATGAGGGTGGTGGATATGATGATGGTGGTTGGAGGGATTAAAGGGGATTTGGGAGTTGAAAAATTGTATCATGTATTGTGTGTTGTATAAAGCTGGTTTTGCATGGGATGGGACGGGCTTGAAGCCGTTATCATATTCCATATTTATTTGGTTGGCAAAAAAGGCGTTTGAGGATCTGAAGAAAAAATATTGTCAGGGAATCGAACATTTGTATATCGCCGTATCCCCCTTCTTATCTTACCATCCCCTATCCCTATCAAAACGCCACAAACTCCACCACAACCACTCTTCCACAAAGTCAGTGTGTCCCAGGGCTATTTATTTTAGATTCTGGGCTCTGGAATTGAGCCAAGGTTACAGTCCTCGCAGCGCAGTGGTTAGCATTTGTGTGCTTTTCTTCCTTCAGCATTTCATTTACCCAGCGAAAATGATTTGAAGCAGCGAAAGACGTCGGTTCGAATCCGTCCGAGGACAATGGTTTATTTTTTTATATTTATATATATATATATTTTTATCACATCTTATAACCCTGCCCCTTTTCTCAATATCTCCCTTCGAAGTAATATGGTCTCCTTTCGCTCGATGATCTATTTCTCATTGTTCCAATCTCTTCTCACTAAATACTTTTAAAATATTGTGTGACCTTGGGTTAAATCTGGTGATGCCTTTCAGCTCGGCACTGAAACCTCTCTATATTGTGCCCTTTGTTTTATAGAGAAGAAGCAGCGAGGCTATGCCATATGGCATGTGTTTTTTTATTAGGTGTCATGTATGAATGTGCGTGCCTGGGTGAGGAGAGCAGCCTCTTAGCGTGACAGTTCAGAAGTGAAAAAAGCATACACATTAAATTTGAGTGAAGCAGAGGACCAAACACAGATAGCTGAACGACTTTGAGAGCAACATAAGTGAGCTCTCGGATGTATCTGGCGAGTATTTGTGATTATGTGATAGTGTAGACTTCTTCAAGACCTCCAGGGGATTCTCATGCCCTTAAATTACAGACTAAAAGGCGACTCCGAAAGGAATCGAGAGATTTTAGAATTCTGATCTTCGTAAAAAATCCCAAGGAGTAGTCATCGCTGTTGTTTTGAAAGTAGGTCGTTCAGTACCTAGGGAGCAGAGCCCTGTTTTTCTATTGTTGATGATATGTGTAACAACAGCACATACACTGCTAATCACTGAGTATGAGAATATTAAGAGGAAGGGGAAAAAACCATAGAGGGAGTAGAAACGGCATGAAAGGGTATAAAAACATCATAGCCAAAGAGACCAAGGAGGACTTATACCTAGTCTAAATCCACACAACTCGTGCTTGAATAAAATCCCATCTCATAACTACCATATTTTTCTTTCCATAAACACTTCCCTTTGTATAAAAACACACAATCATTTACTTCGTCCAAAATAAAATGAAATAAAATATCCATGAACACCCCCCCCCCTTCCCCCCCTCAAAAAAACCAAAAAAAAAAAAAACCCCCCGTAAACAGTATAGATAAGCCTTCTCCATCATCTGTTTCTTTAAAACATCTCGCCCCCCCTCAATCAACAAAACACAACACAACCCCAGCAACAAACATAACAACAGCAACCAACAACCCCTTTTCCTTTTTTCTCCTTCTATACCTTCTCTCCCTCTCACTCCCATAACTATCCACACTCCTATCCCTATAATACCCTGGTCCTCGTCCTCCTCTTCCCTGATATCGATGTCCAGGATTCACCACATACTCCTCCGGCCCCTCATCATCCTCATCGTAATACGCTCTTTGTTCTTGAACTAAAGCATACCGATCTCTATTTATTTCCTTTGAGCGAGGATGAATTATCACTGCGTGTTTTTCTGATGAACACGCAGATGAAGAGGAACAACAGCTTTGTGTGTCTTCATTTTGGTGATTATGATGCCTTGGAAGAGGAGATGGTGGTGGTGGTGAGTGTTGTGGTTGCCTGCGACGACGTTGTTGGCCGTAGTGGCTGCGGCGATGATGATGAGGGTCATGATCTGAGTACATCGATGACGGCATCTTCTTTTTTACATATGTTGTGTGTGGTACAGTACAAGGGGGAAGGGAAATTGTCACTCTTTCGTCGAATGGGGTGATGTTTCTGGGAAAAAGAAAAGAAAGTGAGGCGGGAAATGGAAAAAAAAAAAAAAAAAAAGTGGCAGCCTGAGGATTGGAATATGAGCAAAGTGAGAGAGAGATGAAAGGGAGCGGCGAATAAATTCGCCTCATTCACACCAATGTGTATTTATCATTCAGTCACACCAGGCTCGGGAATGCCAATCAGAACAAAAAGGCAGGAAAAAAGTGGACAATATAGTGTAGATTAAAGAGGCAGCCTCGTCCATTGGCTTACGCAATGCAATGTCCATGAAACACAACACTCACAAACAACCGGGGCGCGGACTGTGCGGGGCAGTTATCAAAAAAAAAAAAAAAAAAAGCTTCGCCGCATTCACTTATTCGGGAGGATTTAAGACTCTCAACAAAGTTGATGTGTGGCTGTAGGCAGCATGCCCGGGCAAAAGCAGGCTGCGGCGGCAGGCAACCTAAACTCTTTGACTGGCTGCTGATTGTGACTGACTGTCCGCCTTGTCTTTGAAATGTGCAAAGACAAAAGACCCCTGTTCTTTTTACTGCGTCAACTTCGGCAGTGTCTAGTCTACACTACACACACTAGTAGGCCGTTATCGTGGGTCGCGGGGGCGGTTTGTCTCTTCAGGGGAGGGTGAGGGGGGTGAGGGTGAGTGACACACCCTCTGTGCCTTTCCGGGCATTGTCTCCTGTGGTTGTCCGTTAACAGGCGGTGTCGAAGCGGAGAAGTCGGCCTTGGCTACCTACATGGCGGTAGTCGCGGCGGGCGGTGTCGGATGCGGGGTGAGATGATGTGTATCAAGCATATCTGCATATTCCGTGCCATGGTAGACGCGCCATCGAACGATCAAAAGCAGACGGCGGCATCTCGATGAGACCGGGTCGGTAACACCCTAGACGGCAAGCAGCAAGGCACGTGGTCCCTGATCAAGGTCAAAATAGATTGCGATCCCGTCACACACGACAGTTCGGCCCCTTCGGCTGGCTGCCGCATCACCTTGTTTAGGACCGCCGAGATAATACCAGGCATGCCAGACCACCATGATCGACTCCGAAGAAAATATATCAGAGACATTGGCGCCCGTGCTTGGCCAGATGATGCATCTTTCCATGGCCCGTGTAACCTTGGCCTCTTTTTGTCCTTTTTTTTTCGCCTCCCAAGCGGTCTGATCTCCTAGTGGTGTACCTATTCCGTAGAAAGAAGTTTTCCAGAAGGCCATCTATGATCAAGGAATAAGGAAAGCCGAAACGAAGGACCCTGAATTTGGGTGGATATGATTCGTCACTCAGCCGCCGCCCCCAAAAACTCATCGATCCTCAAAGGAGAAATTATCTGTACCCGGCCCCTGGGGTCATGGAACATGGTCTGATATTATTCATCAAGAGAAAAGGAAAAAAAATATAAAATATGAAGATGTGGTTGGCCGGCTGGGGTTTCGTTGTACATGGAACCTGTTCCATTGCCATGCGCCCCTTGGCAGGGGATCTCCCGGTTTCGACGCTCCATGCCATGTTATGCGTTGCTTTCCGCTGCCTTTTGCCTATTGCTTGTCGTGCGTGTGTGCCATGTGGTGTGGTGGTGGTGAACTGCGGTGGTGGTTGTGATCAGCAATCAATCAGAATTGCTGCATCCGAGCGAATGGATCATTGATGTGATGTGGGGTTCATGTACGAAATACAAAGGGAGCGAACAAAGAGTTTTCTCTGGAACTTTTTCAAACCTCAAAACTTCCAAGAGATCAAGCGACACAAAATCCGACAAAATCAGAACCCGACAAGCGACAAGCGACAAGCGACAGGAACTCACAGTCACAACAACAACAACAACAACAACAACAACAACAACAAGAAGCAAGAACAAGCATCGATGGCGCTTGCCTTCACAAGGTTTCGGTTTCCGATCACCCCAATTGTTGCGGACCCCCTGGTTACACGTGGCAGCCAGATGCCGTTTGGTTCTCACACCTTTTTTCTTCTTTCCCTCCTGCTTGGTTGCCCTCTCCTCAGAAAAGGCTCCACTCAGTTAGCGTTGCTTGAGAACTGAGAAAAACCACGTGGCGCAGTCCCGCCCCGAAGTACCAGTACATTCTCACTGACAGACACTCAGGGCTGTCAACCACCTGTAAAGGTGTATTCCATAGGTAAAAAATTTGGGCAGCGCGCCCTTCCATTGCTGATCACCACCTCATCCCCGCCCTGATTGGATTGCAGTTACCAATTCATTAGGCTTTTGTCAAATGCATACCCGGTCGAGAAGAATGCAAGGTTGCGTAAATGAATGGATTGGTTTTTATTGCCGTTAAAGTCCGGTGATCGCATGCAACTTTGCGTCTGCATCCAGGGATCGGAACACGCAGATCAGCCTCACGGACAGAAGAAAAAGAAAAGAAAAAAAGAAAAAAGAAAAAACGAACCAAAACGTGGTCTTTTTCTCGGAATAGGAAATGATCGTCGGGTTGCTTTGCAACGGGGTCAAAATGGCGGTATGAAGAGAAAAAAAGACATACGATCACACAGGGATATCATCGGGATAAATCCGTATACGGATGGTGCTTATATTGTTGTTTCTGAGTTATCATTTCTGATTTATCACTTTTTGAGGTCTCGCATTTTCTCTCAACAGTTATTTATGAAGAAAAGGAAAAAAGAACAATCCCCGCAAAAAAAAGGAATCTGACGTACATGGCGACATGCAAGCATAACCCAAAACGGGAAAAGGCAAATAGTAAGATGTAAAAAAACAATAGTTTGCAACGTAAACATTTTCCGAGAGCCGAATTTTCAACACTTTATCTGAACAAGGTTCTTGCAAGTTGAAAAAAAAGCAAAAAATACCCCTCATCAGCTCGATGGGGAAGAATCCCTTGCGTCCTGTCATCTCGGTCAACTCCAGACAAAATCATTGGACGAACTGAACTCCTGTGGAGGCTTCTCAAGTGTTGAGAGAGGGGCAGAGAATGGGGGTGATGAGGGACGATAGGGAATGATAGGGATGAGGGGGCGAACTTTGTTCAAAATTCAAACATCCCGCTCTCAAAAGGGCACGAAGGGCAGCGGTCCCCGGTTGACGATGAAGCCCCGTGATGGTTCACCATATCCATTTTTTTTCGGCTCCTCCCACATCACCCATAATTCACTTACTAAGATAACCAAGCAAAGCAGCAGACCGCCCTTCTTCCCCTCCTGCCTTTCCTTGTCGTTGATCGCTGCAAAAGTAAAAAACAACAAATGCCAATTACGTACATTGTGAAACTTGCAAATTTTTAGAATATTATCACAAAAAACTTCAAACATTCGGGGCGGCCGGGGGTTTTTGGATGTGATGAGGGCAATTCATGCGTTCCCGTTCCAATTGTCGCACCTTCTTTTTCGCTC